AAGTTGGTGGTGACAACTCATTGTCTCCCAAGAGGACTTACAACATGGGCTGTGGGTCACCTCTATCTGACGTCCCTAACAGCTAGGGCAATTAATAGGGGCTCTGGGGCCGCAGTACAATGTCCACTATGGGTCTGTTTATACTTTCATTTTTAAAACAATCCTCCAAGTGTGGCATCTTTGTTTCCTATGGACGGCAAGAAACTTAGGCTCAGGGATTTTAAACAATTCATTCAACATCACAAACCAAAGATGTTGGATTTGAACCCAGGTCTCACTGAATCCCAAGACCATAGATTTGTGAATTGTTATACAATCATCTACAACATCTGCAATATCCAGATTGTTTTTCATCTTACAAATGTGCAACTCGCTACCCCATGAGGCCCTCCTCCTGGTCCTTAGAAACTATCGTTTTATGACCTGTTTTCATGAGTTTCACTAGTCTACTGTTGTATGATGTTTCCTGGGGGGGGTATTTAAACAAATATATGTTGATTCTAGACACAGCAACAGCAGACAGAAGTGTTTTCACCCAAGTTTATAGGGGTTACCTGCAGTGTGGGTGACTGGTACTTACCAGAACATGGGTGGCTTAGCACATCCCTGAATAACCCAGCCTGACACAGGTGACAGACGATTCACAGAAAGCTACATCCTGCCCAGACTGTAGGCATCTCCTCAGAAGAGTTTTCCCTCTCTACAATTGATGATTTTCTGCTCATAGAACCTCAGGGAGGTGCCATGAGGTTTGGAGAGTGCTGAGTCTTGTAACTTTGATGAGTTTCCTGAGCCTCCTCAATTTTATCAGCTTCCTGAATCTTAGGAGCCACCTTCGCTCCAGGAAGTGAGGTTTTAGTTTGGAAGAAATAGCTACCTGGAACCCAGGCACCTCATGCCAGTGCAATTACAAGGTGTTGTTCTAATAAGACTACCTAGCTCACACAGGGTTCACCCATATCAGACCGCATGTCTGAATTCCCGTCCTTTTGGAAGGTAAGCAATATTCCATTGTGAAGATATACCAAAGTTTATTTAGCCATTTGTCTGTTTGGTGGATTTATTCTATTTTTTGGCTATTGTGAATAATGCTGCTTAAAAGTACCTCATCAGACCCCCTCCTTTTACGATTTTTGGGGCACATACCTATAAATGAGAGTATTTATTTATTTATTTATTTATTGTTTTTTGAGACTAGGTCACTCTGTATAGCCTTGGCTGTCCTGGAGCTTTCTCTGTGGGCCAGGCTGGCTTCAAACTCACAGAAATCCACCTGCCTCTGCCTAGATACAAACTCATTCAATGTCCATGGATTCCCAGGAGGCTATCTAGAACCACATTAATAAAATAAAAATGGGAAATGGGTGCCATACAAATCAAACTTTTGAATTTTTTTTCCTCAAGGATTCTAAAATGCTTTAAAGGACTATATTCTTCAGCCAGTGAGACGGCTCAGCAGATAAAGATGCTTGGCACCAACACTGAGGAGCCGAGTTTGGTCCTTGGAATCCACATGGTGTGAGGTTAGCCTCTACTCCCATGAGTCATCCTTTGACTTCCGCACGCATGCACCTTCGCACAAGTAAATGCAAAAGCAAATGTGAAGAGAGCGCTGCTCTCCTTTGTGCATTTTAGGATTGATATGTAGACTCTGGTCATAAATCTAAACACCGCTAGCAATGAAGCATCCAGCATACAGCAAATACTGATATTTTAAAACAAAATGGTGACGTCACTCTTTTAAATGTCTCTAAGTGGCCTCGGAGTCTCCTCCCAGTTTGCTTCCTTCATTGTCCATTGAAGGAACAACATGCAGGCTTCTTTTTAGCAAAGAAAAAAAATGTGCTCTGCTTTCTCTGAGAAATTGTATTTCCATTCTACTCCAGAATCTTATGCTAATGCAACATAATTATGATGAAGTCCCTTCTGAATATCGCGTTGTACTTTTATCTGTCAAGCCTACATATAAGGATGAAAACTTATACATTTTGAAATTCCCATGACTTAGGGCTCTAAGTGTTTTCAGGATTGAGGCATCTTCACAATGAGTAGTAGCACGTGACTGACCAGAGAAGCCTAGGTGCGTGGAGAATCTTGAGGAATGCTGGCAAGAAGGGAGAGCGCTATTGGAAGTTTGCACTTTTTCTTGAATAAGAGGGATGACACTGTACTTTACTCACATGCTACATGGTTGTGGATAAATATTACTTACCGCCAGATTGCTATGATCACAAAGTAGGCAGCATCAGTTCTAATTTTATTTTATTACTTTTTTTTAGAGTTGAGAAACCCTTGTGCTTCTATAGGAGGAGATGGAATGTGGAGAGTGTTATTCAGAAAGCATCCTTTGATTTTTTTCAACTCGTTCTAAATTATTTACCCCACATTATATGCTAAAGATCAGGCATATAATGGTGACATTGGACCCTCTTTTAGTCTTGTTGAAATTAAATCATTGGGAAGCACCTGTATCAGTTGCATTGCTGGGACAGTGCAACTTGAGGCTCACAGTTCCAAGGTATAGTCCCTCTGGAGAGGAAGTCTGGGCAGCAGTAGCCAGAGGCAGTGGGTCACACAGCTCTATGGACAGGAGGCAGAGAAGATCCAGGCCGGAGCCTGGCTTGATTCCTCTCTTTTATTTGGTCCAACAGTTAGGTGGGCCTTTCTACCCCAGCTAAACTAATCTAAAAAGTCCCTGGCAGACATGCCCAGAGACCTGCTGAGTCACCATCAATACAAACTGTTACACCTGATTTGCAAAAGGCTTCCGAACCCAATCCATTCACATATTGACCTCTGCACCCCCAGCCCCTCAGAATGTGACTGTATTGGAAACAGGATCTTTGTAGATTTAATTAGCTAAGGTGAGGTAATAGTGTGGCCCTTAAGAGAAAGCCAGGCAGCTTTAGACATAGAGGGAAGATGGTATAAAGTGACACAAGGCACAGGCCATCTACAAGCCAAGGAGAGATGTCTGGAACATTCTCTCTCATAGCTTTCAGAAGAATTAGCCAGGATAATACTTCAGATTTGGACCTGCAGTCCTAAGCGTTGGGAGAGAGACAGCAAGTTTCTATTGCTACCCCCACCCCAGTCTATGATAATCCGTCTCACCAACCCTTTGTCAATTATCACAAAGACCTTGGAGTCATCCCCTCCCTGCCATGAACACATGTTTTCCATTATTTGGTGTCTAGATGAGTTATTTTATTATGTGAATTTTTGGTACAACGTCTCACTCTAGCCTGGGCTGGCTTAGAACTTACTGTGAAGTCCAGGCTAACCTTGAATGCAAGGAAGTCTGTATGCCTTAGCCTCTGAGCTCTGGAAGTAGAAATCGCCATGCCCAGCTCAGATGGAATTTTTAAAACCTGAGAGAGAATCATGGTGACACTGAGCATGCATGAGACTAAAAGCCATTTTAGGAAGAGCTCTTGTGACAGTAAAGCAGGCACAGAAATAGAAGATCTTGGCCTTACTTTCCTTCGGAATGCCTTTGTCCGTGGGCCACTTTGCAAAGTTTTGACCCCTGAGGGATTAGTGAAGCTGGCTTGGAGAGGGCTGTGTGAACTGTAGAGCGCCTGCTGTAATCCAGGGATGTCTTCACGAAGGACAGGCTCACAGTCTATATGTGGATTTAAATTTGTTTAATTTTATGAGACAGGACGTCACATGGCAGCCTAGTCTGGCCTTGGCCTCCCTACGTAGCTTGGGCTGGCCTACTGCTTGCAGCAATCTTCCTGCCTCAGCCTCTTGAGTGCTGGGTTTCCAGGCATGGGCCGCCGCTTCTGGTTATGTGTAAAGCACCGTCATTGATGCCAAGGAGAAGGAAGAGGGGTGCAGCCAGGGAGGAAGCAGTCTGGGAATGGATCCTGCCTTAATTAGGAGCAGTCAGGGCACAACAGCCATGTCACGCCTGTCCTTAGAGGGCTGTGTTTACAGATTCTCTCTCTCTCTCTCTCTCTCTCTCTCTCTCTCTCTCTCTCTCTCTCTCTCTCTCTCTCTCTCTCTCTCTCTCTCACACACACACACACACACACGCACGTGCATACACACAACACTCTCACACACACGTTCTCTCTCACACACACACACACTCACACGTTTTCTCTCTCTCTCTCTCTCTCTCTCTCTCTCTCTCTCTCTCTCTCTCTCTGAGAAAGCGATATGATGGAATCGGTGCTTAGGAAAAGGATGGGCATCAGGAGCAGAGAGGAAGCAGGTCATTAATGCCTGTCCAGTGACGCTGGTCGGGAGGGGGAGGGGCCGCTGTCTGCCGGTTGTGGGGAATGGAAGGGCTGTGAGACAGGTGGATATGAGCCCCCTGCTTACTGACCCTCACTTCACAGGCACTGCCAGGCTCAGCACCCACCCACACACACCCCAGTCTTCCTCTGTGTTACTGCTGCCTCAGTCCTGAAGCCTAGGGAGGACCAGCAATGGAGCGTTAATGTTGTTGACAGTCCATCCGCTGGACAGAGAAGCTGTGTGGAGACCCTCACTGATGTGAAAACACACATCTGTCAGTCCCTGCACTATCGTGTGACTCTCCCTTGGGTGGGGTGAAGATGGCTTTCTCTGAGACTGGTGTTCATCATCAGTCTTGAGGAAATCCACGCAACAAGGTGTCTTTGGTACTGCCCGGGAATCTACTGTCCTTCCTGTCCATTTCCAGATTGGGAAGGTGCTACAGATACCTCCTGCTGAGCCAGGAAAGAGAGCCACTCCACACTCCGACTCTCAGAGGTGTTTGCTTGGTGTCCAAGCTCCCTCAGCAGACTGCTGGTTTTCTGTCTGAACCGTGAGCCACCCTGCAGGAACACAAGCAAATTTTTCCCGGGCCGGGCAGCCATGTGATCCTTCTAAGCAGGGAGGCAGAGAAAGCACTGGGGTGACCTAGCCCCACAAGCTACTTTCTCCCCGGGAGAGACCCCTTCTAAGACCTAGTGGGTGAGAACACTGGTTCTATTATAGTGATTCTTCATTGAAAAAAAAGTTCCTTTAACATTTGCTTATTTATTTACAGATATGATTTAACTATGTAGCCAAGGCCAGCTTCAAACTTGAGAGCCTCTTGTCTCTGCCTCTTGAGTGCAGGCACTACAATTGTAGTTCCCACAGAAGTCTGGTTTTGCATGAGAAGAAACTGGTGGTTATTATCCTGCGGTAGTCTCCTTTGGGCACAGTCACGGTCTGTGGTCCTGGGTCCTTTGGGTGTTCCTAGTTCCTCAGAGGTCTCTCTCTCGGCCATGGTGACAGAGACAGACTCTGCTGCCAAGTGGACTTGAACATGTGGCACTTTTGCCAAGGGTAGAGGAGATCGTCACTGTGTGCAGGGGCGCTCTTACCCATAGCGACCTCTGCCAAGAATGCAGATCAGCACCGTGTGTGGGAGTCTTACCTCTTACCCACAGAGACTCTCCTGTCTCTTGTTTGTGTAAATCTCCAGTCCTGTGACTGCAGTGGAAGCAAATGCAATGGCTGAGACACAAAGGCTGGGCCGGGGAGATGGCTCAGGGCTCAAGTGCTCGCCTTGCAAACGTGAGAACCTGAGTCTGATTTTCAGAACTTGGGTGGGGGACAAACAACAAACCAACCAACTGACCAGTGAGGCATGGTAGCCTGTCATCTCAGCACTGGCCAGCCAGCTTACATCAGCTTGCTGAGTTCTAGGCCAGCCAGAGGCTCTGTCCCAACAGAAAAGATGGTGAATAGTACCCGAGGATTGTTCATGAAGTTGTTCCTCTGGCCTACACACACACACACACACACACACACACACACACACACACACACACACACACACACACACACACACACCCACACACGCACACACACACACACGTGCAGAAACACAAAGACAAGGGCCTGGCAGCAGCAGACACCGTGAGCACTGACAGCTGGTCTCATTCAGCTGGTGGGGAGAGAGGCTGCTACTGTGAGGTGACAACTGACCTTGTCACTTTGTGTGTCCCTACCAGTTACCAGGCACAACGCGAAACACTGCGAACATGCAAACATTTTTTCCTCCAAACCTGGGACCGAGCATATTGCACCCACATTTTGTAGGGGAAGGGACGGCTGCCCGAGAGGAGTAAAACCTTTCTCAAGGTTTCAATACCGGGAAGTGGCCCCTTCTCCTCCCAGGACTAGTTAAACAAGGCTTCTGAACCAAAGAGCCCCCAAGTTTCCCTGTGGCCTGAAATCCAAATTTGTTCTCCCCTTGTGCTACACCTCTCTCAAGGGTTACTGCAGGCTCTGCACCCTCTCCCCTATCAGACTCCGGGAGACGTGATCTGAGCACTGTGGTTGTAGTAGCGAATGGAAAAATAGAACCTAGCCAAAAGCTCGACAGTCACACATAACTGTTGTCTACACCGGTGACCGAGGTTTACTACATGGCCACCCATGACTCCAGAGAGTGAAAAAGTACATTTTTACTGTCTGAGAGGAGAGAGGGACGTTTGTGGGTACAAGGACTGCCGCCACGACAGAGGAAGAAACTGCTAAGAACAAGTGTTTTCCTCTGCCCTTAGCTTCCCATGGAAGCTTCCCTCTCCCAGCCTGAGACCTCACAGGCCAGCAGGCACTGAGGGTTTCACAGACATTGTTTCTGATCCTCACAAGGCCCTGGTCGGCAGATACTGTTATTCCCTCCATTTCACAGATGAAGTTATTTGAGCCCAGAAAGGTCTTGTAGTTGCTGGAGCCAAATGGCACAGGGAATGAAGAATGACGCCTGTGCAGCCCTCAGGTCAGCTTGACTCTGGAGACTGTGTTCTTTGGTTTTCCGTAGGAGGCTGTCCAATGTGACCGGCAGCACACGTGTTGCAACGGTAGGACCCTGGGCTTCAAAATATGGAGGCTCGATGCAGCCAGTTCTACAGGGATGAAAGGGAAAGGGAATGCCTCCATTCAGAGAGCACCTCATATTTTAGGTATGTCTTTACAAATTTGTCGAACCTGTTATACACTCCCCCACCCCCTGCTCCTTCAAGTAACGATGTATCATGTATACTTTCCCAATAAAGAACTGTGGTTTTAATGTACCTGCTCATGTGGGCGCTGATGCTGGGTGCCTGCAGGTATATATGCAAATGCCTATGTATGGAGGCTGGAGGTCAACCTTGCATGTTGATGTCCTGAGTGAATGGCATTGTGGTCCATGTCAAGGACCACAATGCCTTACGTTAGTGGATCTCAACCTCCCTAATATTGTCACGTGTTGTGGTGACCCCTGACCATAAAATTATTTTGTTGCTACTTTGTGACTGTAATTTTGCTACTGTCATGAATTGTAAATATCTGATAGGTGACTCCCAAAGGGATCAAGACCCACAGGTTGAGAACCAATGCCTCAGACCCAGGGGAATTGTAAGAACTTTCCCTGGTCTAAATAAAGATGTTGACAACACTTGCACGAAGAGTGGAGCAGTTTTCTCCTCTAAGATGAGTGCAGCCTGAGATTGCTGCCCTTCAGACTCTCAGCTGATATGACCTGGCACCCAGGGGGGTGTCGGCCACAGCTTACCACCTCCCCGTCCCTGCTTTCCTGCATAGGTGTGTGTGTTTCTTCTTTCCCCTTCAGCCCAGTAAGGTTAAGTCCAAAGCCGATCAGGCCCTGGCAGGCCTTATTGCTCAGGGGCCATCCACTTTGGTTTTTGAGACAAGGCTTCTCATTCTCTTGGAGCTTGCCAAGTAGGCTAGGTTAGCCGGCCAGGGAGCCCCAGGGATCGACCTGTCTCCATCTCCTCAGTGCTGGAATTAGAAATGCATACTACCACACCAAATAGTTTTATGTGGGCTCTGCAAATTGGGCTCAGTTGCCCATATTTGCAGCGTAAGAATTTCACTATCAGCCATCTGCCTCCAGCTCTGCGCTGTATTTTAAGATGATTTACCGCTTTATATCTCATGTCTGAGTTTTTGCCCCCATGCATGTATATGTGCCTGGTGCAGAGGCCAAAAGAAAGGGCTTGGTTCCCTGAAGCGGGAATTACTAACAATTGTGAGATGCCACACAGGTGCTGGGAACCTGAGTCCTCTGCAAAAGCCCTGAACCATACTTTTAATGACTTGACTACATATTCTCTTGCTCTCCATTTTTCGACCCTGCCACTACTCATTTAAAATTCCTGAGGGCAGACAATTGTCTTGTCTCCAGTCTCATGTCTTTGCAGAGATAACTAAAACCTGCTTCTGTCTCTAAATCAACTCATGTCTTCACCAACGTGGGAGATCCTAATGGCCAAGGTAGTTAATGAAAACACCCACTCCATTCTTACCTTTCTCCCCCCTTTTCAGGGAGAGCCTCCATAGTGCTATGCAGTGTCTCCCCACTTCCCAAGTCGGGGGTTTTCCTTGTCATTTTTCATGCCATGGTATTTCCCTGAAATTCCCATCAACTGCCTACTGCCCTCTCTGCTGTCTCTTTCTCTTGGTTTCCATGCGTCCATATTCTTTATTGTATTACACGTTTCCATCACTATGTTTCCATCACACATTCATTCCTTTGCTCTTGTCATCTCAGCATGGAATGGCCTCTCTTGGCATCCGTGGCTGGTCTCCAAGGTGCTGCTCAACTGCCCAGCAGGTCATGAAGCCCTGCCTATCCTTAGTTAAAGTTAGCAGATCTTTCCTCTAAGCTCCTCAGGACTTCTTTCTTGCTTACAAACACTCATTCAGGAAAACAAAACAGAACAAAAAAGCCTTTACTCAGTGCTTATGGTGAGCACTGAAGAGCCTCTGGCAGATACCAACTAATAAACCTTGAAACTCATACCGTGGGACTCCTCCCCAGTCACCGGGGACGGTTAGAAACACACATACTTCATTGACTCCAGGGCAATGGTTGGGGATGGAGTTCAGTTGGCAGAGAGCTTTCATAGCAGGCAGGAGGCTTGGGGTTCGATTCCCTCCACTTTAAGGAAAAGCTAGTGGTACACGCAAGGATCCAGGTGAAAAACGGAAGTATTATTTCACGCGTCTTTTCACTTTGAGAAGTCGAGGCCCTTACATTAAAGTGAGTGGGGTCCGCTCCGCTTCTGGGGTGAACCCCAGACCTCTACACCGAGCCACGCCCCCGCCCTAAGCTAACGAAGACAGCCGGGTCTGCGGGGTCAAGAAGGGGACTGAGTGGACCTCGGGTGCGGTGCAACCTCACTGCCCACGTTTCCCGGAGTCCGGTCTGGTTTTCACACCTTCCTCTCTCCCTGAAATAGACGCACAGCCGCCTCCTGATTTAGAATAGGAGCGGCGACTCCTTCACGAAACCTGGAAAATGTGACTTTTCCAGAAACGGCTCATGCATCCTCGGGTCCCGGCAACCGCAGAGGTGGCTGTGCCCTTTTGCCCATCTTTTCCCTCCCCGGGGCCCGACTGGGAGCCTGCAGCTTCCCCAGCCGGGTGGAGGACGCCGGAGCGGGGCCTCTGCATGTGTGCGTGCGGCCTGCAGACCGGCCACGCCGCCACGTCGTACGATCCGCAACCCCATCCGGCCCGGGTTTTGCCGCCCGCCGCGCTCCCGGAGCGGAGACTGGCGCCGCCGAGGCCTCCGCGGCCCGGGCCGGGAAGGGGCGGGGGATAGGGCGGGGGATGGGGCGAGAGGGCCGCACTGCGCACGCGCGCCGGAGGGGTCGCGGGCTCCCCGCTCCCCGGGCTCCGTCAGGCCGGAACCCTCGCGCCGGCGCCCCGCCCGGAGCCGCCCGGAGCCGCCCGCGCCCGGACCCGCGGCGTCCGGGCGGGGCCTCTTTCCTCGGGCTCGCGGCCGGGAAGGAACATTCCAGGCTCTCCCCGCCCGGCTGCGCCCGTTCCCGCTCCTCCCCCGCCGCGTGTTTTCCGCCCCAGTAAAGATCGTGCCACACAAATAAGCCTCGGGTGGGTGCCCTTTGCCGAGCGGGCCATTTTCAGGGCGCGTCTCCGGAGCCGCTCAAAGTCTGGTTTTCTCCCCAAAGTGGAAGGTGTGGGGGGCGGGGGCGGGGGCGGCCGGGGCCGCTTCCAACTGCTCCGCACGCTCGAATAGTTGTCAGTGAAATCGAACTGACGTCAGCCCGGGGGGGAGAGATAGGTCTCTTTTGTTCTCATGTTCTCCCCCTCCCCTCCCTTGCGATCAAAGGCAAAAAAAAAAAAAAACCATCCCCCCCCCCCATTTGGAGGGTGGAGGAAAGACAAAAAAAAAAAAAAAAAAAAGGGGGGGTAAGAAATTGCCGTGCAAAGAGATAGCTTCCATTAGAGCTTCTGCCCGGGCGAGGGGAATGTTTAATGAATGCATCACGTCTTTTGATCACCCTCGCTCGGCTGGGTTCAGTAGTGCCGGAAGGTTAGTTGCATATCCTGTGGCTGATCTGAAATTCGATCAGCAGAGGGGGTCAAAGAAAAGAAAAGCATTTTAATGGGAATCAATAGAGGAGCATAGGTCTTGGAAGGAAATACGTGTTGATTAAAAATGCCACAAGAGTACAGAAAAATATCCACGACTGGCTTAAAGAAAACGAGAAAAAGAAAAAGAAACGAGGGAGAGAGAGAGGGAAGAGAGGAGAGGGGGAGGAGGAGGGGAAAAAAAAAACCCTTAGCAATCTATTTTCTGTGTGTGCTGCTGCCAGAGACGCAGTCAGCAGCCCAGCAGTTTGTGTAATGCTTCAAGCTACAGCGGGCAAATTTAAAGCTGTATGCTCAGAACAACATAATAAATACTTATTGAAAATGCATTTCTATTTCTAAGCGGGGCTCACTCATGCATTATACAAAACACCTAGGGCTCCAGTAGGAGACACAAGGGGACAAATAAGGTATACTGTGACTCGAGTCCTTAAACTAAACTATGGGGCTTTTTACAGTGGAGAGCAGAAATAAACAAACAATTCCCCTTAAGCCGAAAACTAACAGCTTTGAAGGAAACCAAAGGCTTAAAATGGAAACTTTAAAGAAGTTGTAATTTTAAAAATATCTTAAAACTGTAGGGGAAGGGGAAGGGACTAGAGGGGAGTCAACGGTGGCAGATAGCATATTGATTGCCTTACAGAGTGGAAAATTATTGCCCGGTAGGTAGGGAAAGTGATCAACAGTGTGATAAAACAGTTGAAGGTTTTTATGGCCCTCTACCTACTATAGAGGAAAAGGAAAAGCATTCTAAAGCCAATCTCACACCCACTCACACCCACCCACACACTCTCACTCCTGTCTGCCTGGTCTATTAGAAGAGAATCAATAGTATTTAAATTTTTACGTGTTCAACAAAGACAATCCCTTCCCCTCAGAGGACAGAAACATCTTGGGAACAATGTGGGGGAGCTTCTCCCTCAGGAGGGTTTCTGCAGCTCCTTCCTGGCCTCTTGGATGGTAGTCCTCACTCTTCACTCTCCTCCCTCGTTCTTACTCTTAATATTCCTTTTCTAGCTCTAAAGGACATACACACAGATCAAGAAGCAATTCCAATGTGATTCCCCTCGGCTCTTCCCAACAAAGTTGCCTGTCGGTTCAGCACCTCCCCAGACCAAACTCCCTTTATGTTTCAGTCTCTTATGCAATGTGGTATATATTTTCATATCATCCAAGAATATTACTCTGTATTTTTCAGGTCCATCTAATTGGTGGCCCATGGATAAATGTGTCCTGTGGTATCTAAGGATGTAGCTCAACACATTTGTTGTTGACAATGCCATGACGAAATGTCAAAAGGTTGGACACCCCTGTTTTAAATCATCTCCAGTTTGTATACCTCACACATCCCAAGTGTCATGCTGTGCCGTATTGTTTAGTCTGTATAGCAGGGTGTGGCGGCACAGAGATGACGTGTAGTTAGGAAGGGGGTTGCAAATTTGAGGTCAGCCTGTGTTATATAGTAAGGTCATGTCTAAAAAGAAAGATAATAAATAAACAAATAAATACAGAGGACAGAAAGACAAAGAGAAGATTGGTTGACTCCCTGATAGAAGCTGTAGATTTAGGAGCCAGCACGCTAACTGCACTTAATTTCTATAGCTTTGGTAAAGAGGATTCATCAAAATTGGAGTTTTGTTGTTTGCCATAATTCATACCATAATTCATTGTTTTGTCTTTTTAAACAGGGTCTCATGTAGCTGAGGCTGATCCTGAACTCACTATGTAGCCAAGGTTGGATGATACCGGTGGCCTTCTTATTTCTGGTGTGTACCTCCATGGTAGAATTACATAATATGATCTGTTAAAAAAAAGGTTTCTTAGCAACTCTTTCACATTTCTTTGTGTTTATGCGTGCTTGTACTATGTGTGTGTGCAGGATGCACGTGTTTGTGTGTGATAGTATGAACATACCATGACATCAATGCAGAGGCAACTTTTTAAGGCAGGATCTCTCTTGGTCTTTGGCTCTATGCTGCCTACACCAGGCTAAATGGCCCACAAGCTTTCTGGGAGATTCTTCTGTTTCCCACCTGACCATCGGAGTACTAGGATTACAGTCTTGGGCTACAGCATCTGGCTTTTCAATTCTACGAATCGGAACTCCGTATTCCAGGGATCTGAACTGGGAACTCAGGTTGTTAGGCTAGCACAGAAAACACTTTGCCATCCTGAGATGTCTCCTGTCCCTTGACCGAATACTGAGCTTTGAAAGCAGAGGCTACATCTGCCTTTCTGAACAGAATTTTCCATGTTAGAAGTAGAGCTAGCTGATGGACAGTTTTGAGTTTATAAGCAGATGGTACCTAGACTGCATTTCAGAGAGGGAAGGGGTTGCTTGGTAATCTTAGACCACTGACTTAAGGTCTCTGAAGCTCAGGTGCCTTGTTGGTAAAATGGGAAATTATACTTACACCCAGACTCATTTATGTGATGAAATAATGTATGTAATATATAAATAATAATGTATTCTGTGCCCTATATAACATGTATGCATCTCTATCTATTTATCATCTATCCATCTCTCATCTAGCTATATCCATCTATCATCTATCTGTCTGTCTGTCTATCTATGTATCTATCTATCTATTCATCATATATTTCTTTTGTTTTTCAAAGATTTCTGCCTCCCAGGAGCCATGCCTTCCTGAATCACACTCTTTCAAAACAGAATCTGTTTACATTATTTAGATTTATTTATTATCTTATGTGCATGGGTGTTTTGTCTGCATGCATGTCTATACATATGTGTGTAGGCAGAGTTTCCCTGTGCCAGCAGCCACTCTCAACCATTCAGAGTCTGGGCCAATAGCTCAGGCTTGTTACTAGCAAACTATTACATTTACAATTTTGTCACGTGGCTTAGTGCCTTCTCTCATCTTTGCCCATCTTTCTTCCCCTTAAGTCTGCTGATAACTCCCCTGAGTCCACACTTTTTCCTCCCAGCATTCTCAGTTTGGCTTTTCTGTCTAACCTTATCCTGTCCAGCTATTGGCCAGTCAGCTTCTTTATTAAGCCAGTCACAGCCTGTATTCACACAGTTTAGACAAGGGTTATTCCCCAGGCTGATGCCCATGGTGGGGTTGTCAGATGCCCTGGGACTACAGTTCCAGACCCTTGCGAGCTTCCTTATGGGTACTGGGAATTGAACTCTGGTTCTCTGCAAGAGCAACAAGTACACTTGACCATAGGTCCATCTCTTCAGCATCCCCCTCCTTATTCATATTTTATGAAGTCTTTCTTTGAATATGGGGTGCATTTGAAGTTGTAGGCCATAAGCATCTTGCTGCCTCTCCCTGAATTTCTTGGAATGCTGGCTCTTGAGACATTTCCTCTCGGGACCTGGCTGTAATCTTCAAGTCTGAGGAATTGTGTCTCGGTGAGATCATTTGTAGGTGGGCAGGTTGATATCATGCAGATTGCTTCCAGCAGTATTCCACTAGCCAGGAGATAACATCAACCTTATCAGCCTTGAGAGATGCCCATCTGTGTTGTTCCATCCTGTTTAATTAGCTGCTGCCTGATTGCAGGCCCACGAAAGATCCCAAACCAGAGCTACCCAGTTGAGCTCACCCACGGCACTGTGAGAGGTGATAAAAAATAAATGCATAACACGGGCTGTGCATGGACCGTGCTTTCCAAATTTTGTGTGTTAGAAACTAAATAACCAAAGTCTTACGCTAATGGTCTTGAACAGTGGAACCTTGGGAGCTGACTTGTGGCTTTATGAGTTACTGAGGGTGGCTGTGCTGTGACACACACCTGCTCTTTGCTGCCATGGAACACTCTCTACCACAGTATGATCCAGCAAGAGAGCACCTACTAGAAACTGAGCAGTGTGGTTGTCTAGTTTTGGACTTCCTGCCTCCAGCACTGGTAGCTAAATAGATTTCTCTTCTTTATAAATTACTTGGTCTCAGGTGTTTAGTTATAGCAACAGAAAACGACTGAGACAACTAGCTTTTATGAGATTTTTATTTTATAGTAAGTACTAAACCCATTTGTTTAATAAATATAAGTGAAATAACCTAGCTACTTGGTAAATTTTTCTTTAGCTCATTCTTCCTGCCCCTGCTACTCTTCAACACCTACAAAAATTCTGTCAGCCTTGATTTCTGAGGCTGTTTACGCTAAATACAGGCTACACAAGGACAAACACTTGCTTGCTCTTTTCTCAGGGACGTGGAGTCTAAATGGAGAGAGAAGACTTTTTATATATATTTTCTTTTTGAAGAAAGCGAAGCCATTTTTTCTGTTGAGAAATACAAATACATCATACTTATGCACTATATTTACACCATTTCCATCTCTCCCTAGTCCCCCAATTCTTCCATGATCACTGTACTCTCTCTCAAATCCATGACCCTTCACTACTTCCTCTTAATTTCATGACCTCTTCTTTAATTATTATTGTTCCCCTCACTCTTACCTACTGTCCATTCAGGGTTGCTCATATGTGCTTGTATCTCATGAGGGCTGACCATGTGGGACTGACGGCCTATCAGGAGGTTTGTCCCTGGAGAAAAATGCTTCAACCCAACCTCTCTCAGTGGCCACTGATTGCCTGAGGCTCCTCACGTAGGGGAAAGGGCTTTGTGAAATGGCCCCTGATGACATTGGTATGTCAACTGGCGTTATTATTCAGGTCTTGTTTAGGTAACCATGTTGTTGAGATTTTGTGGGCATAGCTTCCCTGTCATGTGTAGAACACACTATCTAGCTGTAGACTTCCTGGTCCTCTGGCTCCCTACAATATTTCTTCTCCCCATCTGTGATTTCCCCTGAGCCCTAGCTGTTGGGTTCCCTAATAGATGTAACCATTGGAGTTGAACACACCCCATCATCACTGACTCCGCATTTCAACCAGTTGTGGATCTCTGTGAAATGAACCTTCTTTGACAAGGGATGAGTGCTACACTTTTTTAAAAATGAGTGTAATATTTAGAATAAAATGTTAGAAATTATATTGGCTTAGGAAAATGACAGTAGTTGGTTCTCTCCTAGGGTCTCTGATCTTTCTGACTATAGACAGTTAGCTAGGTTTAAAGTACCAGGTGTGAATTCCTTTCCACCTACTGGGTCTGCATAGGTATAACACACACAAACACACACACACTCACACACACACACACACACACACACACACACGCCCCATAGGAAAGAGAGAGGTGGTTATATACTCTCTGGAGGGCTGAAGTGTGTGTGGCTTAGTGGGTCCCAGGATAAGGCCATGCCACTTATTTAGTTAAGTTATAGATGAATGGATTCTTGGGAATATCTTCAGATGTATGTTGTGGTGTGTGTGTGTGTGTGTGTGTATGTGTATGTGTGTGCACGTGCATGTTATACTTACAGTAAAATATTTATAAAGATAAAACATTTATTTACAGAACTTGATTGATATGTTTGAGTCTTCATGCACAGAATATGCCCAGGGTAAAACATGTCTTCATGGGCAGGTGTGTCAGGTACTTTACATAGCTCATTCCAGGCCCTTCCCAGTGGGATTCTGAATATATTGTTCCAGAGTGGAAGCTGCTTTCCGGGGTTTACCAGCTAGGAAGCACACTGCCTCCCTAGGTGGACTGGCTGACATTGTTGGTCTGCCTCTTGCTGCTGGGATCGACTTGGTTTGAATTATGTCTGTGGAGACTTGTATAGGATGATTAGGTCTCCAGGTTGGTCCTTGTGGTTGATGCTGACTCTTGCAGTTGGACCCTTTCTATGAAGCCTGGTTCATCTGTTGCACAGGAGTTCCACAAGCCGTGCTATTCATCTGCTGTTGGAAACACCATGTGTATGCTCTAAGCAAGGCATGGTGGCAGCTTCCTGACAAGCTTCCTTGAACACACCCTCCAGTAATCAAATGAATGCTGGTTGGAACACTGGGGATCCATTTTGGACACTGTACGGAAGCTACCAGGGAAGGAAAAAGTGGACAGTGTTCACTAAGGGTCTGAATTGTGACCTAGAGAAAGGGCTGAGACTTAGACAGGGAGGCATCAGAATCAGTGATGGCAAGGGAGTGTGGGATTGCGAGGGGTAGAAATGTTGCCCTGGTTCCAGGAAGACTCCACGGGGTGCTTAAGCTAGTCTTGACCTTTTAAGTTACTTGAGTGGAAAAGCTTAGTCCCTTTAAGTGATGGGCTACTTTGCAGACTAACCGTGGCCCCCTTAGGCCTGTGTCACTCAGCAGTGGCCCCGAGTCTCACAGGCCGTCTTGGAGTTTCACCTGTATCATTGCTGGTCGGTTTGGGGAAAGTGATTTTTTATGCTAATATTTTATGGTTGTTATATTCTGCCATATCTGCTGCTTTCCCTTGTGCTTGCTGACATTCTGAGATGTTTGTATTTGTTTTGTAGTTGGACTGTTTTAATTACAGATATTATTTTTTGCTGGGGCACAATGCACAGAACCTAGTTTACCATTTTGCTCATGTCTAAGGGTATAGTTGAGGGCTGGTGAGATGGCTCTGCACAAGCCTGGCAGCCTAGGTTTGTTCCCCTGAACCCGAATAAAGTGCACACACACTAATATGAACTGAATCAACGCAAGAGCACAGTTTAGTGCATTAAGTACATTTATCGTTGTGCAGTCAACATCAACCGTTCATTTCCAATAACCCCTCCTCTTCTTCCCCTCCATTCTTGGAAATTACTATTCTCCTTTCCTCCTCTGAATATGATTATCACAGTCCTCTCATGTAGTAATTTTACATTAACTTTTAAAATTTTTTTGTGAGTGTGTGTACATGCATGCGTGTTCATGCGTGCACCTGTGTGTATTGTATGTATACCAGCCCTTGTGGAAGTCAGAGGACAACTTGAAGGAGTCAGTTCTGTGTTACCATGTGGGTCCTGGGGATTAAATTCAGGTTATTGGGCTTTCGGTGGCATTATCCCTTGCTCTGTAGAGCCATCTTGCTAGTCCTTAATTTTATGTTTTGACAGAATGGCTATCAGACTTGAAATGGCTTTGGAGAAAGATTTTACAGTATGAATTACTGAAAAATTTCATGCCTTCAAGTGGTTTACAGATTTAAAGTTTTTCCCTGAATATGTGATTTATCGTAAAGACGGTTATCTCAATTTATCCTCAATAAGGGTCAGAGTTTTAGGTTGAATGATGACTGTTAAACAAATAACATGTAGTTAAATCATGATACTCTCTCTGATTTGCTTGAGTCTTTCTTTGTGTATAAAATGAAGCACTCTCCAGCTGAGGTGATCTTACTCAGTATCACTCGACACAACTTTATTAGTAGCCCCTTAAAATATGAATGAAGATGGTAAAGATTGTGGTGTATTCTTACAATAATTAATTTTATACATATTTGGAAATGGTAAAAATAACATTTTGTTTTTGTCACGGGCATCTGAAAAACACTTTATCCCAGTGTATAAACATTTCTCAGTTTAAACAGTAAAAGTGACTCTGAGAAGTAAAGACAACTATATTTTGTTTTGAGTCTTTGCAAAAAAAAATACCCTGTAGTAAGATAATAGACCAAGATTATAAATAACTATTGCCAAGTTATCCATGTGAAAATGTAATTAATATAAATTATATAGTCTGATAAAAATGATGTCTGTAATGAAGAAATGTAGGCTTTTACAGCCTGCTGCTTTCAATATGATGTCATCTTTGCCTTTGCTCCTAGAGTCAATTTCTTGAGAGGAATGCCAGTCCTCTGATTGAAGAAAAGACAGTGGAACCGCATTACGTCTCACATTGTTAATCCGCAAACCCTGTCATTTTCACACACACAAAATTCCTCAGCAATGTCATTTTACTTCACAGGGAACATTTTATAGCTGCGAGCTCTAGGCAAATCTCAAATCACTAAGAATTCATTACTTTTGCCAAATATACTAGAGACCATTCACTAGCTGGCGATCATAAAGCATTATGACTCAACTACATTTATCTAAATAAACTAGTAATACAAATCTCATGATTCTAAATTCAGGTAGAAGAAAGGTTACACTGTGCGCATATTCACATATTTCCATACATATAAAAATATTACATAAAATGTGGGTAGATTGTTAGAATAGCAGCCTTAATGAATCAGACCTGTCTGCATTCATGCCCCTCTTACATCCTTTCAACCAATAGATGTTTGACTATGGGCTGGTCTTGTGACTTGACCTGTTGAATATGAACCAAGTGACATCGGGCCCTGTTTGAGGCTGGACTTACACAGGCTGTGGAGTCATTTCTTGTTACTCTTGACATGAAGAATGCTACACAGGATGGATTCTTTCTGGAGAGAAATGCCAGGTAGGTCCAAATGCCAATCTGCCACCCAGTGGTACGTGTATCAGAGTTCTCTCAAGGAAGAGAACCAATAGAATGGGCATACATGGGATTTATTAGATTGGCTTACACGATACAGTCCAGGTAGTCCAATGGCTGTCTCATACCGGAGTGGTTGAGAATCTGTTCATGAGGCTAGATGTATTTCAGAAGCTCAAACCTGGCCTTGAAGGCTGGAGGGTTCCTGGAGAGTCACTGGTCTTCAGTTCATGTTGGAATCTTGAAGACACTGGTTCTAATATCATTGAAGGCAAGTGATGGATGAACTTGCCAGCAATAATAAGGATAAAAAGGCATAAAGTACAACTTTCCTTTTCCCCTTTCCCATGCCCTTTCATCTGGGCTGCCACCAGAAGGTGCCACCATGTTTATGGGGGTGGGGTGGGGGGGTTCTTCCTGCTTCACATAATCTGATCATGAAGTCCCTCCTGGGAGTGCCTTAGCTGCTTGTGTTTTAGTTGATTCCAGATCCAGTCAAGATTAGCTATCACAGAATCCAAGTAAAATCTTCCAGTTAATTCCTGAGCAACCGGCAGCATCCTGACCGGGGAAAGGGGGGGTGGAGGTGGGGGGCGTGGGGGGGTTGGGGGTGACACGGACCGACACAGACGACCAGCGATTCACCAACTTTTAGGGTGTCCATTTGCATGGTGATAAGTAACTGGTACAGAAATTGGTGTCTGGCAGGGGTGTGAGGAACAAATTCCTAATGTGTGTGATGTTGGCTTGGGGACAGGATAACAAGGACAGCAGGTAGATTGCATGGCAGTAAGGATTCTGCTAGCAGAGGCTGTGAGAACAGAGAGGAAGTTCTGTAGGAAGGGGCTGCTGATGTTGTGTTAGGAGTCAAACTCACCACTGTGGTAACTTGGAAGAGTGACCTTGGGTACTTGGCAAGGAGGATTTCAGCCACAGAGCCTATTGGCCTGCAGAGAAATGATCCAAAGAGCGAAACAGTTTTTGAAAATTAGACTTTCCATGGACTATAGGAGAGACAAGACATTGAGTGAGAAAATAAGACTGTTTAAAAATGCTAGTCTCTCCAGTCAGCTGAAGATTGTCAAAATAAGAAGTGGCCTCAAGGTAAACATTGAGTCTGGACTGTGACCATTAAGACTTCAGAGGAATTTAAGGAGGGGCCTCATAGTCCCCATCAGGCAGACAAAACGTCTCTGAGAATCTTAAGGGTATTGTTTCATAGTAACTCGCCATGTCCACAGCACAGCTATGTGATGGGAAGAATTATGGATGTGCTTTTTGGGGCATGGAGAAAGACTATAAAATGCATTGGAAGCCCTTGAAGGTTTTTGAAATCATTGTATTTATGAGGTTACTGAAAGAGAGAGAGAGAGAGAGAGAGAGAGAGAGAGAGAGCGAAGCGGCCTGGGCACTCAGAAAGACAACTATCTCCTGTTTTCCTGTACTTGTGTATTCTAGATTGTATTTGGAGACCTAAAGTGGATGGGGACTGAGGGGAGGAAGGAGACTAGAGGTGGGGGAGGGGGACGAGGAGGGGGAGGAAGGAGAGAGCTTGGGAGTGGTGAATAGTGTTTAAAAGGTACAGTTGAATATATGACAATAAGACAATAAAATAAAATAAGAAATAAAATAGGCCTTTGCACTCTCAACCTTCTATGGGAAGTCTCTAGAGACCAAGAAGACAATGCAGATGTAAACATTTCTCGTCAATGAAAGGTGCTTCAGAAAGTCAATCCACAAGTATGAACCAGAGCCAAGAGTTGAAAGATAAGCAAGGGAACCAATTAAGGGAACAGGATAGGTACCCTGATAGAGGTGTCTGTGTCTAGAGGAGCAGGTCTGAGCACATTCAGGTGGACTTTAGGATGGACCTCTTTCCTTTTCTCTTCCCTTTTCTGTAGCCAAGGCTAGCCTTTAACTTTTGATTTTTAAAATTTATTTTTTTTAGTGTGTAATATGTGTTTGCCTACATGTATAGATGTGCACCAATGTGTGCAGTGCCTGAAGAGGCCAGAAGAGGACATCAGATCCCTGGAACTGATGTTAAAGACCATTACAAACTGCCATATGGGTCCTGGAAACCAAACCTGGGTCCTTTGGAAGAGCAGAAACCACTGAGTTATCTCTCCTGCCTCTAGCCTTCCACTTGTAATCCTCCTGCCTCAACTTCTCAAGTGATGGCATTACAAGTATGCACCACTGTTCCTGGCTATTTCCCCTGATTTTAAATGGAATATCTATTTCAGGCATCTTACCTGCATATTCTCATTGGATACCAGATGTCTTGGGACAGATATATGGCTTCTTAGGTCATACATTTTTACAGTTTCTGCAGGGAAGAGCTGTAAGTCTCCTCTTCTGGAGCTGACCTGTGTGAGATCATGTTCTTTTGAGCCTGATGATGAGCTTGGGAGAGGCTTTCAAACTTTACATATGAATGACCTGTGAATCGTGGCTGGGGGGGGGAATGCATACAGTAGCATGTACAATAATGATCCCGACGAGTCATACCATTTTGTCCTCACCTTTTTGGTAGTGTGGTTTTGCTATTCTTCCCGAGAGGTGCAGTCTAGTTCCTTCTTGGATTTTCTCTGACTGCTGGGATGTAGCAGAAGCAGCAACGTGCAGGTTCTGAGGCAGGGAGTCAGGGCTCAGAGTCTGTGCTTTTGTGTCTTAAACATCACACACTGTGTTGTGGAAAAGCATCACGTGGCTGAACACAACCTCAGGGGTTTCACCTTTTAAATATGCCCCGTGAGTTGTCACCACCAGTGACAACAGCAGTGAGGCTACCAGCTCACAGAAGCAGGAGGAATATTGCTGTAGTTGCTAAACCACTGGGTAATACTGGGACAGATAACGAGGTGGAGTTCAGAAGTGGTTGCTGGGGTAGAGGATTTCCTTAGTGAGTTTTCCTTCTTGTGGTAAGAGTTATTGAGGTATAAGGCTCGGCTGTCATTATGATCCCTGGTTGAAGAAATATGCATTACGAGGTCCAGTCGGATTGTTTAAGACTCGCTTTTTTGTTCTCATGGGCCTGTTGGTGTTTCCAAATTAAGGCAAAACTTTTGAGTTGAAACTACAAGCGTATTAATCGTGGTTCCCTGAAAGAACAGAACCGATAGAATGAAAAAGAAAATGTGTATGTTGCGTACACACACACGCACGCACACACACATGCACGCACACACACACGCACACACGCACACGCACGCGTGCACACGCACACACACGCGCACACACGCACGCACACACACATATACACACGCACACACACGCACGCACACACACACGCACACACACGCACGCACGCACACACACGCACACACACACGCACACACGCACGCACGCACACACACGCGCACACACACACGACTTGCCAGGGAGAATGAGAGCAAACACGCAACAGTATTTCCTTCTCTTATGTCCTTTTATCTGGGCTGCCACCACACCAGAAGGCACTGCCCAGATTTAGGGTGGATCTTCCTTTTTCAAATCATCTGACCAAGAAAATCTCTCACCAGCGTGCCCAGCAGCTTGTGTTTTAGTTAATTCCACATCCAGTCACATTGACAACCATGATTAGCCTTCACAACCTGTCATCAAATCCCAGCTCTGATGCTTAAACAAATGAACAACATGAATTTTATTTGTTGTTCTTATTCTTCCACACTAAGTTGGCTCTTGTGGACCCTGTGCTCCTTTGTACAGATTCTAGAGCTATTCGTTGACCTCTACAAGATAACATGCAGGGATTTTGATTGGGGATGGGATAACTAAAGATCAAGCTGGGGAGAGTCGACATCCTAGCAGCATTAAGTCCTGTTATGAACATAGGATTTCTCTCTACTTTTCTGGTTCTCTGATTTCTTTGCTCAGAGCTTGGCATTGTCTTTATGTAGATTTTACACCTACTTCGTTAGATTTAAACCTAGGTCATTTCACTGGGCATGTGTGTGTGTGTGTGTGTGTGTGTGTGTGCGTGTGTGTAGTAATTTAAATGACAATGCACAGTTTTGATTTGTTTTTGTTTTTGAGACAGAGTTTCTCTGTATAGCCCTGGCTATCCTGGGACTCTCTATAAACCAGGCTGGCCTCAAACTCAGAGATCTGCCTCCCTCTGCCTCCAGAGTTCTGGGATTAAATTGCGAGCCATGTTCGGTTGACAATGCACTTTTAATGCCAAGTTCATTGTTGGGATATGAGAAGATGATTAATTTTTGATATTGATCCTATATCCTGTAACCTTGTTACAGAGTTTTTTTTTTTAATGGTTTTGGATTTTCTACACAGATGATCATGCTCTCACCTCCTATTTTTTTGATTTAAAGGGGGTTTGCTTTCTTTTGCTTATTTACATATTTATTTATTGTATATGGCTGTTTTGTCTGCATGTATGTCTATGCACCACATGCATGCCTGGTGCCCTTGGAAGCCAGAAGAGGGTGTCAGATCTCCTGGAACTGGATCCTCTGGAAGAGAAGAGCAGCCAGTGCCCTTAACTGCTGAGCCATTTTTCCGGCCCTGGTCCTTACAGATTTTACATGCATTGAATGCATGGATCTATGTAATAGGACTTTCATCCACTTCTCCTTGAACTGTGAGGGGTTTGTTTTGTGTATTTTCGTGTTCGGTTTGCTATAAGGAGCATATACGATACAGTCGGTTAGGACTTCATGGAGTTTTTTTTTTTTTTTTGATTTTTACGAGACAGGGTTTCTCTGTATTGTTTTGGAGGCTTATCGGTCCAGCCTGGCCTCGAACTCACAGAGATCCGCCTGCCTCTGCCTCCCGAATGCTGGGATTAAAGGCGTGCGCCACCAACGCCCGGCCTAGGACTTCATGGAGTTTTGACCACAGTGTCGTTTTATAATGTTCCTCTTGACCTCAGGCAACTGTTCTTGCTTTGACGTCATCTCTGTGAAATCAGCGTAGGTCTTCTCACTTTATTTTGATAGGCATGGCATTTCTTCTCCATCCCTTTA